TTTTTACATACAAAGTTTCAAGTATATATAAAGAATAAAGAAATAATTGATTCTGAACTCTTTTTTCGGGAACTCTTCCTAGCAACTCCTAGGCTGACATGAAGTGTTAAGAAAAATGGTAAATCATGCATTTTAATCTGAAGAGCTAGAAGTTAATCAGACACTAGCTGTTTGCATGTTTACATCTTCTTGTATCTCATTTCGGAAGTGGAGTTCTAAGAAGGAGGCAGATACCGAAGCTGGGCTGTATGATCAGAAGTGATAGGTAAAGAGGCTGAGAGAGTATATAAAGTGAAAATGGAATTCTGTGAGGCATAGCCTAGGCATAAACAAAACGGTTGCAAAGGCAACAGGAAACATCAGGATAAATTGGGGAATACCAGAGGTCCTCCAGTGTTTCCTTTAAGAGGGATTATAATAATACCACCATCAATGACTGCTTGGAAACAGAGGTCAAACTGAGGCCAGAGAGAATCAGTGGAGAATATATAATTTCAATATTATCCTTTGCATCTATCTCAACCTCTCCCTGCCATGCTTAATTGCCATCTGAATTTTACAAAGTGAATAATTCCAACCTCACACTAACAGAAACCACTGTTGAAACAGACTTTGTTTGAGAGGAGACTGCGGGTTTATTTGGAAATTCACAATGGAGTTTCTATGATAATTTGGAAAAGGTATTAATTTGTTAGCTAACTATTACAATCACACTTCTGAAATAATCAGTTGGCTAAATAAAATCCAAAGAATTAATTGTTTATTGCAAATTGTTCAAAATCCAATGACTAGTTAAAGATAGTTCTTGCCCACTAAATGCATTACACTGGTTAAAACCCAAGGGGATAGTTGTTTAATTGAATACAAACATGCAAATACGTGTTGTAAAAATGTATTTAGCGAGCTGAATAAAAAGATACTGTTAAAAAATAAAGACTGTTTATAGTATTTTTTTTGTTTACATTTTAAACAGTCAAAATGTCTCTTTTGTAAAAAAAAAAAAGGCATATTTACTAACTCATTCATAGCCGTTTAAACTATATGCTTTTATATTTCCTAAAGAGTTATTGCTATATTTAAGATCTATGAAGGTGATAAACCCTGTAGCTCAGAATACAGAACGTCAAGTGCAGTTAACTATCCTGGTCAGGTTTCTAATGATCATTCAAATTTCACAACTCTCCTGAGGAACCAAACCGCAGCTTTGGTAAAGTAGGAATTAACATATAAAATTATCTGACATTTCGGCTTCCATTTCTACCAACTACAGTCAAGTAATACAGTATCTTTTAAACAACTGGGGGTAGCATTTTTTCAAAAGGGAAAGTTACTCTTCTTTTTCCATCATTGCTGAATTCACAAATGACGGGTTGTAACTTCCTAACTTTTCCATAAAAGTTCAACCTCTGGGCTGAGATCAAGCTTGAATAATTTCAGACACGACATACAATTTCCAGAAAGGGGGAGGGTGAGTGCGAGAGAGAGAGAAAAGACAGGCGGTAATACTGGAAACCATTTTGCAACCGTACTATGGCTGTTGCTCCCAAAGAAAGCCAAAAATACTGTATTACTTACATGTAAGTTAGCTTGAATAGCAACACACTATTACAAATACTGATGTAACAGATTGTGCACACCTTTTTCCTCCTTTAAAATTATTCCAACAAAATTTGTTAAACAAAAACAAACAGAACAAGGAATAGAACTCATGGTTGAGCACAAAAAGGATGGAAAGTACGGCACACCGACCACAAAAATGACTCTAGTGGGACAGACAATGGTCTATCTCACCTAATATCCTGTCTTCTGACAGTTGCAGTGTCAGCTGCTTCAGGGGGAATGAACAGAGCAGGGCAATTTCAAGTGATCTATCCTCTGTTGTCCACTCCCAGCTTCTGACAGTCAGAGGGTTATGAACACCCAGAGGCTGGGGTTGCATCCCGGATCATTTTGGCTAATAGCCATTGATGGACCTATCCTCCATGAGCTTATCTAATTCTTTTTTGAACCTAATTATACTTTTGGCCTTCACATCATCCCATGGCGATGAGTTCCACAGGTGGACTGTGCACCGTGACTGTGCAAAGTACTTTTTTTTTTGTTTATTTTAAAGCTGCTTATGAATTTCATCGGGTCACCCTTGGTTCTTGGGGTGGGCGGGGGGGGGTAAACAACATACACCTTTTCTTTTTCTCCAGAGCACTCAAAATTTAAGGACCTTTATCATATCCCCCCCCTTAGCCATCCCTTTTCTAAGTTGAACAATCCCAGTCATTTTAATATCTTCCCATATGGAAGCTGTTCCATACCCCTAAATCATTTACATTGCCCTTCTCTATACCTTTTCCAATTTTAATGCAATTATTTATTTATTTATTTATTTATTTTAGAGGAGGCAACCAAAACTGCACACAGTATTCAAGGTGTGAGCGTACCATGGATTTATAAAGTGGCATTATGGTATTTTCTGTTTTATCACCTTTCCCTTTCCTAATGGTTCCGAACATTGTTAGCTTTTTTTCGACTGTTACTACATATTGAGCAGATGTTTTCAGGGAGCTACCCACCATGCATCTAGATGTGGATGTGCTATATCATTTAAAGCATGGATTATGAAGCCTTAATGGTTGGCAATTCTTTGTGATGAATTTGTTCTACTTTTACCTAGTGACCAAAGAGTATAATTCCACACACAAATAACCTTTTACAAACAGTTACCTTTTTTTTTTTAATTTTGTTTTTTCGATAGATTGTGGTTCTGTTAATTTGTTAAGTGCCTAGAGCCTGGGATCAGAGGTTTTTAAATATACAAAATAGAGATAATGTCCTCTATGTGATTATTTCTAATTAAAATTTTGTCCAGACATGAACAGTTAATAATCCCAAAATGTTAGTATTGGGAAGTAACAACAATTTCAGGAACTGTGAGGTTAGTTAGTGAAGATTTGTCCACAATTGCATTAATACAAATACAATTTCAGTATCTTGGAAATGTTCCACTCCTTGCTTTTGTGATTTTAAAAAAATAATAAATAAAACTCTGAGATTACCGTTATTGCCTATTGGGTAAATAACATGCAGACCAAAACTGTATTTTACCAGGCGAATGCACATTTATTAAAAAGCATAAATCTGCCTTTAATGGACAAACAATTCTTGCTAAGTATGTACTAAAGAGGTGTTTTACCACTGTCATCAAAATAAAAATCAGTGTTTGAATTTTAGATTTTTGTTACTTACTGCGACCTCAACATTCATTTAATGCTTCTCCCAATGCTAAAATAAACTTGAATTAAGGACAAAAATTTTCATTTTCCAAAAGCCATGCTCCTGCTTCCAATATGAGCTTTACAGTCAACTTCAGCACAAGCAGGACTAGGTTATAAATTTGTATTTAAAGAGGATATTACAGGTATGATTCCATTTCAAAATTTCACTACCTTTTTTTATTGGTTCATTTGAAACACATTCAAGAATCTTACAAAATATATATTCCTAAAACAAAAACAGCAGCAACACACATGCACATTCCTGTATATATTTACTTTTTCTTTAGTCCTTAACATTGTTAAACTGAGTATCATCACCCTTAAAAAATGCAATTTTGACCTAAAATAATTGAATAAAAAACCCAGCTAAATACAGGCACACATATCAACCTGGCTCTCCTAGAGGCACATTAAAGTCAACAATTTTGACATCTTTATTAAATGATGTATGGAAAAATTAAGACATATTCAGTATATCCTACTTATAAATTAAATAATCCCTATGCCCCCCAAAATTATTCTCCGCCTATCCTAAACTCTTCAAAAAATTAGCCAAAAGCAATCATTCATATTTTCAGGCTGCACGTTGTCATAAGCCACAAAATTGCTACCGTCCTAAAAGTTAAAACTTGTGAATCAACATCTGCATTTTTCACGTCTACTGCTGAACAGCTTTTTATAATTTGTAAAAGAAAATTATTGCTCGGTAGACACTTTGCATGATAAAATTATATGCACGCAGAAAGTTAACAGCAACCCCACTCACGTGGAAAGAACTTACATTTAAAAAAAAAAATACTGACCGAGTCTTAAGAGTTGTGGTGCGAACACATCTTATGTTCTTATAATGATGTTAACACACCAAGGAAATGAAAATGTTAGGATAGTATTTGGTAACATTGAATGTATCACCACCTGAACGTCAGTGGAGGTCAGAAGCAGATTAAGAACTCAACTTAAAACTGTGGGCTTTAAGTTAACTACTGCTCTTCTTACAAGCCTACTTGTAAGCGTACAACTACTGCTCTTCTTACAGTGCTCTTCTCATCATCTGTCTGAATTCATCTAGTGAGGCCTGCAATTTACCTTAATCCATTCTAAAATGTCAGCTAGCCACCAAAAGCTGCAAATGGGAAGTATTGCTATTTAATATACCACCTTGCAAATCATAAAAATACCTAGGCATAAAAAAAAAAAACCCACAACCCAGTTATCTATTTCTAAAAATCACAACATTTTCCTCAAGTTTAAAAAAATTTTTTTTTTAATTAGGACAAAGTTAAAACGTGAATATTCCCATCGCCAATCCACGATTCCGCCCCTTCCTGCGCGTTTCCTATTGTCTATGTTCAGCGCTAGAAAGCCACAAACGCAACAAAAAGTAGCCAAGAATTCCGGCACGACTTTCAAAAGGCGAGAGTGCGGGCACGCCCGGGTGGCTTCGCGGGAGGGGACGGGACGGGACGGGACGCGGGGACGGGTCCCTTTAACTCAGAGCGGCTTCGCCGAGCAGGCGGCGGAGTCTGGAAAAGGTCACCCGGACATACTTGCTCCCGGCTGCGAAGTCCTGCGGTGGCTACTGATCGAGCAGGCTGGGGGGAGGGAGGGGGGGGGGGGGATCGGCCAAAGTTTGCAAGTTTCACTCCAGGCCCCCGGCGCGCGTTTCCATTTCGATCTGGGGCGAGCTCCGGCCGGGCTGCGGCGGGGAGGGGGGGGGGGGGCGGCGCTTACCTTTCTTGGCTTTCGGGGAGTTCTTCTTGCTCCGGTGGGTGGCTCGCTCTTCCTCAATAGCAGCTGCTATCTCTGGGTTGTCTTCCCCATTGTACCAGACCAGCAGCTCGTCGCCGGGCTCAATTGGCTGGGGGGGCGGCAGAGAGAGAAAGGCAACGCCAATCAGCGGGAGGGTTGTTCGCGCAAGGCCGCGGAGCAGGCTCAGGGCCAGAGGGCGTGGAGCTCGCCGCGGGGACGGCAAACAGCTGTGCTCTGCGCCGAGCGCCTATTGCCTCACGGCCGGACGGACCAAACCGGAAGAACTCTTTAACCCTTCCCGGCTGGGCCGGGGCAGGCCGCCGCCGCCGCCGCCGCCGCGAGCAGGGGAACGGCTTGCACCGAGCGCCCCCTGCTGGGAGGAGGACTGCAGGCGTCCAACCCCAGGGCACTGGCTCCTGGCTGAGAACAGGCTTTCCAGGGGGAATCGACGTTTAAAGCGACTGCACTTGTTTGGCAAACGCAGAAGGAACGGGAGGACTTGGGGCCCCTTAGAGACCAACGCCTTTATTTGAGCATAAAGCTTTCCTGAGCTACAGCTTCATCACGCTTCCTTTAAACCTGACACGGCAAACAGTGATCTCTAATCGCCCACCCTGTTATGAGCTCAGTTTATGCGGAAAATGCTGCAGTTTTGATTTGAGGATGATTTTAAAAGCTGGCTCTGTTATTAAAAAGGAAGGTAGGGCAGAGAAAGTAGGTCATAGAAGATGTTAAATTCAGATATAGGATGGAGGAAGCCTGTTTGTCATCATTTCCCCCTGCTAGGGGGAAAATGAGTTCTGTTTCTAGATTATTTCTCCCCAATCTACTGTTTTTATAAAAACAAATTTTGAAAAGGAATGTGAAAGTTCAGGTTAAGCTGAGCAAAATTTTACTGAGGAGTAATTGTGCTTACATTTTTAAGTTTGATCTGCATCTATATATTACATATATTTCTTTAAAAAATGCAGTTTCTAAACTCAGGATATACAATCTCTAACAGATATCTTTAACTATATACTGTCATTTTAAAATGTTTTCTTCATTTTAGTAGATTTAACTGCAACTATTTACATTACACAAACAAGACAGTCTTGTCTGTAATACAACAAAAAAAGAGTAAGAAATGTCTACATATAGTAGAAACCCATATAGAAACAGCCATCTATTGAAGTTGACAGTTTGGAACTTAATTTCAGGAATACATTGACTGGAAAAGTTTACGACAGAGAAAGAGGAAGAGAGGAAAATGAAAGGCAATTACTACATGTTTCTGGAGTCCCCCTGAATTAAGCCCAATAATAAGAGAATTGTGTGCCATTCCATACTTATTTCTAAGTCTTTATGCAACACAAACTCAAAAAGAAAAAAGGAAAGGAAAGGAACAAGAAATTGAACTAAACACAGGTCATTGCGATTACTACTCTGATGTCCCAGTGCCATTACCATGCTGCTCAAAACTAGAATTGATAATTTTACAGGTAATTTTATGTGGTCTTAAATAGCATCATCAGGATCATACACTTTTTAGTGAATCCCCTTAAAGATTTTCCCAACTTGAGCAGAGTAAAAGGGGGAAATACTTCTGTACCTAATATTTTTCAAATAATCTCCCAAACATTTCTCCATTCGGAACAATTCTACTCAAGTGTGGGAATAAAATCCATTGGCCCTAGATACAAATGCCTTTCTTCCTTGTGACTGCAACTACCCTTTTCAGTGGCTGAAGAATAATATGGTGCCAGAAATAGTTTATAATTTTAAAGTAATTAGGTTAGAGCAACGGGGATCTCAACTTCTTATTTTAAGTTTCACCTGAGCCAAAGAAGGGAAAAAAAAAACCTATTTTACCCTCATATGCTGGAAGAACTCAAGAGATGCAAGGTTCCTGGCATCTACATTATAACCATCTTTACCATGATCAGATCTAGCTTCTGGGGCTTGTGCAATCCCTCGTGCTTTGGGGTGAGGGTGTGGGGACGGAAGGACACCTAGAAACAATCAATTTTACCTTTTTTTTTTTTTTACGGGTATCTAGAAGTTTTCTTTGCAAAGGAAATGTAAGTCAGTTCATAGCATTAAAAATGTCATTAATTTTTCCTAAAGACCATTGTTTATGCAGAGCTCCCTATTCTCCTCTACTGCCAACCTATGAGTTACTCATGGTCCCCTATCCTGCTGAACTGATTCATGTGTTAGAATCATAGAATATCAGGGTTGGAAGGGACCCCTGAAGGTCATCTAGTCCAACCCCCTGCTCGAAGCAGGACCAATTCCCAGTTAAATCATCCCAGCCAGGGCTTTGTCAAGCCTGACCTTAAAAACCTCTAAGGAAGGAGATTCTACCACCTCCCTAGGTAACGCATTCCAGTGTTTCACCACCCTCTTAGTGAAAAAGTTTTTCCTAATATCCAATCTAAACCTCCCCCACTGCAACTTGAGACCATTACTCCTCGTTCTGTCATCTGCTACCATTGAGAACAGTCTAGAGCCATCCTCTTTGGAACCCCCTTTCAGGTAGTTGAAAGCAGCTATCAAATCCCCCCTCATTCTTCTCTTCTGCAGGCTAAACAATCCCAGCTCCCTCAGCCTCTCCTCATAAGTCATGTGTTCCAGACCCCTAATCATTTTTGCTGCCCTTCGCTGGACTCTCTCCAATTTATCCACATCCTTCTTGAAGTGTGGGGCCCAAAACTGGACACAGTACTCCAGATGAGGCCTCACCAATGTCGAATAGAGGGGAACGATCACGTCCCTCGATCTGCTCGCTATGCCCCTACTTATACATCCCAAAATGCCATTGGCCTTCTTGGCAACAAGGGCACACTGCTGACTCATATCCAGCTTCTCGTCCACTGTCACCCCTAGGTCCTTTTCCGCAGAACTGCTGCCTAGCCATTCGGCCCCTAGTCTGTAGCGGTGCATTGGGTTCTTCCGTCCTAAGTGCAGGACCCTGCACTTATCCTTATTGAACCTCATCAGATTTCTTTTGGCCCAATCCTCCAATTATGGAGGTGTTATGATGGTTCTGTGGAAATTTTTGCGAACAAAAGGCCTACACCAAACTGACTTCAATAGGAGTTGGATCAAGCCAAAATTCTTTGCATCTTACTATTTTTGAAAGTTAGTTTGGAAAAAAATGGTAATTAAGTTTGTTTTGAGTACTTATAAACAGAACCTCTTCATTACAAGATGTGACATGCACAGCTTAGCATTCATTACTGGAAAAGTCTACTGACATAAATACTGTTACAATATAGAAAGTTTCAAGCTTTTGGTATAAGGGGATTAACTTTACTTTATAAATTAGATATATTTCAATAATATTTACATTAAGTAAGTGTTATCTAATGGATACCATATTAACTAAGTACTGCATAATTTTTAGGAAAAGAAAACATGTACAGTACTTTTTAAAACTATATACTTTGTTGTTAAAAGTGTTTATCATTTGACTATCAGAGCCATTTTCTCCTGATTTGCTAAATTCCAAAGCATAAACATTTTTCAATTAATCCTCACAATAAGGAAAGTGAAAAGGTTCGTTTCAGAGAATCCAAGTGTAAAATTGCACTGACCATTATACTTGATATGTTCACATACATAAAATATAAGGCCAATGCTAACCAGATTAACCTAAATCAATATATGCTAGGTTTAAATCAATTTGTGTCTACAGAGAAATTTACACAAGTTTAAACGGATTTAAAATACGGTTAAACAAGTGTAACTTTTAATATAAGCAAGGCCTAAGATTTTGGTTTCCATTTGCAGTTTGGGAGTCCTGATGGAATAAGTGTTGGGTAAATTATTTATTTGTACAGTGTCAGTGTGATAGTGCCATACAACCAAGAATGAAGGCCCGGGTCCAATCTAAACCTAGAATGGGTTGACAACAAAGAGAAATGGGGGAATTCAGTGCTGTGTTAAGCATGCAACTTCTCAGTTCCATGGTTGGTTGTTTTTCCCTTTTAATTTGCTGAGTGTAGTGTTTGAGTTGCTAAACCAATGTCTAAATAAAGTCTTCTGACCCTGTCCTTCCAAAATAAGAGGCGGCCTGCCTTCAGTCCAAGCTCGTGCAATAGAACAGCTCCTATGTTAGCAATACTAATTAAAGCAACAGCTCTACTTTGAGGAAATCCACGATCACTTGATTTTGATGTAGAGTAAGCATACAACTATACCTAGAAACAGAAGGCTAGGATCAGAGAACCTTCCCGTGTAAGAGTTTTCAGTAAAAAAAAATATCAAAAATCTAAAATTTACCTACCTGAGCCACCCCCTTAAATTCTGTCTACAACCACATTTTTAAAAAGTTACGAACATTAATATTGTATCTTAAAGGTAATGCATAATTCAATAATATGTACATTATAGTGGTGGTGCTGGTTATTATAATGTACAGGATCTTCCAAACTTTGAAGGTCATGTGCTGAACATAAATACACAAAGAACTTTGTTGTTTGTAAGTTCTTCATAAGAGCAGTAAAGGGTTACAACACACAACATACATGACCAACACATAAAAACAAGGAAATGAAAAGTTAAGCCACTGAACAATACATACCTCTATTCCTCCTCACAGAGGCACAAACCTTAATCATTACTACAACTACCATAACACTAAGGACCACACATTGAAACCTGAATTCTGACCCCCTCAACACAACCCATCTCATTACCAACTACCTTCTCCCAAAGCTATTAGATTGGATGTTCAGTGAAGTAGTGTTGGGAGGAAACAGTTTAGTAAAAGTATGAAGTAAAGTATGGCATCCTTAGTGGGACAGAGTTAAGGTTGTGGTGCATTGTCTGTGGTACATTCCGCCTACCCTGTGGTGTTCTCTCTTCTTAGCTGAAGGCACTAGATCAGTGGTTTTCAACCTTTTTTCATGTGCAGACCCCTAAAAATTTTCAAATTGAGGTGTGGACCCCTTTGGATATCTTAGAAATAGTCTGCGGACTCCCAGAGATCCACGGACTACAGGTTGAAAACCACTGCAGTAGATGAAAATAAAACTGCTTTCACCCCCAAAGTATTATATACATATCAATTGTAGAATAATCCTTCTGTTGTACATTTACTGTACATTGTGACCTAAGTGTACT